CCTCTGGCCTACACCCCAGTTCTTGTATGCACAAATAAATGATTTTTTTTAATTATTAAAAATCAAGGTCTTAGCACTACATATGCTTGTTTTTACTAGTGTATGAGTCTAGGCCTACTCAGTAGGCAGAGCTGGGAAAAGTGTGTGTGTGTGTATCCATACAAACACATATACACAAACATATACACAAAAACACACACACTATCTAGGCATCCATATTTACTTCTGTATGTACAGACAACAAATAAATAGGTAATGTAAGGTAGGTAGTTAGGTAAAGAGACAGAGATATAACAAACCATGAGTTCATCTACCTTGAATTTCAATTCAGCCCACCAGAATATATTTCTAATCTCTTCCTTTTCATATTTCCCCAACTCTGAGAGATTAAGATCCAATTATTCTCAATAATACGTTTTCATTTGCTCAAGCCAAGAACTCGCAGAAGACAGATTCAAAATTCTAACCCATTACCAACTAGAAGTCACCAAGTAGAGATCAGTGTTTGTTTATAGTTTGTTGCAGGTGGACACTCTTGGAGAAATATCTGAGTCTAGAGCTGAGACAAGGAAATCACAAGATGCACCTAAAACATCCTTCTGTGCCAGAAACTAAAGAAGTACTCAAAGAGTCAGAGGGAGACATGTCAAAAGGAGACAACCACATTGAAGGGACTCTCGAATGCCAAATTTGGGACAATTTGATCAAAATATATTTTATATTATGATAGTAATAGATTTGAGCCCACCGAATAAATCAAGAATCCATGAGTCCAGGCTGATTTAAATAAATAAATGACTTTTTTAATTAAGGGAGTAGAAAGAAAAATCTTTCTACAGTGGAATGCAACTGATAACAGAAAATGAATGATGGAGTGAAAAACCCATCAGTGCACACTGAAACTAGTGGGTGAAAATCTGATGAGTAAGAGAATTAAATTTTACATGGCATGAAAGTATCTCTCCACAAATTACTTAGGAATCACAAAGGAAAAAATAGCTACTTTATAGTGGAGAAACCAGATAGACACCACTGTAACCACACAATCTAAGCTAACATCAGCAACATTAGAACAAATCAGCACCACACATCTTGTAATAGGATGCAGTGAGATGGGCACAACTTTGCGTGACATGCCTGCCAGAAGGGTATAAGCCCAACCTGTACATTAGAATCATAAACCCAAAAGTGAGATGGGCTGCAAAATAACTGGCCAGTGCCCTTTAAAAATGTCAAGATCAAAAGACGCAATGGAAGGCTGATTTCCAGATTGAAGGAAGCTAAACAGAGGCATCCCTGGTGGCACAAAGGTTAAGATGCAGCACTATGACGCTATCCATAGCCACCACAGCACAGGTTAGATCCCCACCAGGGAGCTACCCACATGGCACAGCAGACCTCTCTTGTCTGCTGCACCCTTCAGCAGTGTATTTCAGTGGATCTGCCTGTTCTGTTCCCCACTCTGTCTCTGGTGAATCCTCTCGCCCACCGCATCTCTGGCCTGCACCCCAGCTCTTGTATGCGTAAATAAATAAATCTTAAAAAAAAAAAAAAAAGGAAGCTAAACAGACTCAACAATTAAATGTAACCCTTGATCCTGGATTCTCCTGGATCCTATAAGGGGAAAAAGGACAGCTAGAAAGGACAGCATTGGGACAACTGACAAAATTTGAATATGGGTTGTAGAGTAGGTAATAATATCACATCAATGTTAAATTTCCTGATTTTGGTAACTGCTATGTATCTATTAAAGAATTCTTAGGAAATTACATTAAAGTATATAGGAATAAAGAGGAATGATGTCTCCAACCTATTAACAAATTATTTAGATATTATTTAATATTATTTAATCACATGATTAAATTATATATACTATCAAATTATATATATATTAATTACCAATAATTGGCACATGCACACTAATTAGAATATATAAGAGGAAGAGATAAGTAAATGGGACAGATTTAAACAATGATCAAAGATGTGTGGGAGTCCCTCAAGCTATTTTGTAACTTTCCTGTAAATTGGAAGTACAAGAAGATCAAAGGTTACCAAACATGTAAAAAAAAATTGACAACAATTTTTTAATGAAACCACCTAATAAATTCAAGAACTAGTCTCTTAAAACAAATCTCCATCAAGTCTGATCAAGAAAAAAAAATGTTAAACAATTCTAAGACTAGGAAAGAAAAATAATCACTGCAATGGAGGGTGGTGGTATCCACATAAGAGAAGTGGTAATTCCACACCAATCATTTTTTAAATAAGTTTCAGACTTTATTCTGATTTCATCAATTTTCCCTGGGTATTCTTTTTGTGTGCCAGAGTTCTACCCAATATAACACATTGCAGCAGTCATCAAGTCTCCTTCGTTTCTCTGGGTTGTGACAGTTCTGTCTTTTCTTATTTGCCATGGTCTTGACAGTGGAGAGGCTTTCTAATCAGGTATTTTGTAAAATGTCCCTCAAGTTCATATCCTTGGTTTCTAACATCTTAATAAGATTAACAAACCTCTTGGAAATATATAGATGCCAAAACTGACAACAAAAGAAATACTTTAAAATCTAAAAAATAAAAAAATGGGGACAGGTGGAGATAAACATAGGAAAACTGAAAAAAAAAAAAATGTCAGAAAACTGATTCCAAAAACAAGGCACTGAATTCAAGTTTCAAGGGCAATTTCTTCCCTTATCAATGCATGGATGATCCCTATACCATTTAACTTGTTTGAGAGGAAAGAGAAACTTGGAAATTCTCCCAGTTCATTGTTGAAGCAAGCATAATCTTGACACCAAAGTTGCCAAAGATATAACAAAAAATAAAAATCTATGAATCAATAGCATTTATGAATACAGAGGGAAGCATTCTAAGTAAAATATTGCAATTCAAATACAAGACCAAGCTTTTCTTGCCAGAACCCAAAGATGTCTCAACATTAGAAACATCTATTAACTAACTCATCTCATTGAAAGTCAAAGAAGGAAAGCCATGTAGTCAGCTTGATGGAAGCTGAAAAGACATGGCAGGAATTCAATTCTTCCTGATGGAAACTCAATAAATTTGGAATAGAAGGATTCAATCTTAAAACTATATGATACGATACTATACTGTACTATCCTATACTATAGCAAATATGTACTTCAAACTACAGACCATATCACATGACAGTGGAAAAGTTAGCATCATTTTCATTCAAGTTAGTAACTAGAACTAGGGTGCTTCTAATCACCATTCACAATATTCTATGTGATTCAATAAGACAAAGACAAAAAAATAAAATGATTGACTATTAGAAAGGTACTTGCAAATTTTTCTGTATTTTTCAATCTGTTTGTTGACCCAAGAGAATAAACTAAAAATAAAAATTGGAATGACTAAGGGAGTTGAATATGGTGGCTAGTTTTATACACACACACACACACGTATATATTAACTATGTTTTCCTATTAAACACATTACCAGTAAAAACTAACCAGAAATAATAATACAAAATTTTATAATCCCTAATAATGACTGAAAATCTGAAATTTTTACATTAAAATTTTATGTTATGAATACATAGCAATATGCTAAACAATAAACATGAGGGGTACCTATTAGTAAAACAAAAAATCCTGGAAGGAGAGCTATACCATTTGATAATATTATAAAGGCAGCTTATTCAATTGATTCATAAATATAATGCAATTTCAAGCAAAATCCTCATAAAATTTTTGAAAAAAATAGGAATTTCTAAGACTTATTTTATCAGATATTAAAAATATTTAAGAACTATGGTATGAAAACAATGGAGAATTGACCCCCAAAAAAGATAAATGTGAAATAAGAAATGAATAAGAAATTTATCTAAAAAGAAATAAAAGGATCATTAACTATATTTCAAAAGATGTATAGCCCATTGCTTATCAAATAAATGTAAATCAATACAAAATGTTTGGGGGCTTTCAAATAGTAAGACTCAGTGCTGACAAAGAAGAAAACTATATATCTCCATATACTTTGATTATGAGGACAAATTTTTATAACCTTTTGGGAGAACAATTTAGAAAAAGTAAAAAAAAAAAAACTTAATAGTACAAACTTTGACTCAGGAATTTTATATTAAAATTAGAAATAATCAGCTTTTGACCTTGTGGAATACTATGCAATCACTTAAAATGCAACCTTATTTACACTACTTTGTGGAAAGACATTCACAATGTATTAAGTGTAAAAGCAGGTTAGGGTTGGGTTGGCCTTGTAGGATCTCATGTGTGTAAAGAAGCAGGTGTCCAGAAGACACCCAGGGATGACTCAGAAAGATGTGCCTGTGTACTGGCCTTCAGTTGTAGTGTCTCTCTGCAGCCATTCCTGTAGCTGCCTAATCACCCCCATAATACTTTGGGCAGCTTCTGGATGGCACCTTTATAATTCATTCAAGCACTCATTTACTATGTAAATCAAGTGTGGAAATAAACGATGACCACCCAAATAGGAACAAGTAAAGGCTATTTATTCAGAGCTTGCTGTAGCAGAGGAGGCAAAGACAGGGACAGGAAAAGCTTTACAATAGAAGGGGGAAAGGTTTCAGGCCTGGGGAAGCTGTAGGCAGACTAAGTAGAGGCAGGACACCTATGTGATGGGTTAGCTGTTCAGTCCGGCTTCCTTCAATTGGTCTTAAGTTGGAAGCAGGGCAAAAATTAGGGAGGCTGTCAGTTATGAATCAAGTCCTGATCATTTGGAGTCAATTGTTACAGAGACTCTCATTTGGCTTTCTGTACCTATTAAAAATAGTTGGACTTCCTGGACTGGCTACTATAGATATAGACTGGTCTTCTAAGCTAAGTGTTGTAGAGTTCAAGTTTTACTTATAGTCTGGCTATTTATTGTCTGTGTATCATATTGAGTCTCTCATAAGTAGTGGGAGAAATACTGAGTTTACAAAGATATGGCAAAGGCACTGTCTACCATCAGGGAGATTATCGTCTGATAGAAAAGACATCCCACTCACCTGTGGTTTTCGTGTCCCTGTGCTATTGCAGGGATGTCTGTTTGGCACTGTGAGAACACACTGGACTTTAGAGGAAAGTCACACCCCCTCTGCAAGGCAAGCAAAAGCTCTGAGGCTGTGGCTTTGGCCAGCCCCTCCAATGTCATTCCTCACTGCCCTCCCCTCACCCAGGCAGCACTGGCCATCCTGCCCATGAAGTCAGCTGCCCAGAGGCTGGCAGGGAGGGAGCGTGTATATCACCCCACGCCAGCAAGCCAAAGTAATGTTGACGACAAAATATTCCTACTCAAAAAAATTTTTTGTTGGTCTAGGTTCTAAACAAGTGCTACCATTACTTTGAGTTTCAATTACATATATGCAAGCTTCAAATTAACACATTTTTATCATTTCAACATTTCAATAGATTTCAGTCGATCCTACGTGGAAGTTAATTCCAATAGCGCCTAGTTATACAGAGGCCCCTGAGACACATGGACTCAATTACATGCATTTGTTTTAAGGGTAAATTTGCAGCAGTTCAGAATTTTTGAAGTTCACTTTTGGCCCAGACTCTGTCTCCAAGCCTTGGGGAACTATGCATCCTCCATTTAAACAGTAGATTCAAAATAACAGTGAGAGTCCGTCAGTCCGTCATCACCACAACGAAGAAATACAACATACATGACTTCAATTCTGTCATCCTAAGCGATCATTTGGAAGTTCATTTGTGTTTAAAATTTAAAACAGAGTATGAACTACACAGTGATACCTTTTTGTTTCATAAATGCAAATTATAGTTCATGCATGATTTATTGAATTTGAATAGTGTCTTAAAGACTAAAATTCATTATTTTGTATGGTTAATTGTTTGAAAACTAAAAGAGAATCAAGAAAATAAAATCTTATAGCCTAGTGCCATTGAGTAGCTTTATCCTAGTGTGTAGCTATAGAGGAGGTAAATTAGTCACAAAAATATTTGCCAACAGCCCAAAGCTGGCTTGCACCACATACACTGAGCATCAAGTTTTAACACCATTCCTTAAAGACTGAGGCCCAGAAAATGCAAAGAGAGCCATCCACACGGCAGCAAACAAAGCAAGGAAATGGACAATGAAATAGAAAAAGAATCAAATATCAAAGAAGAATGCCAGGAGAAATGGCAAAAGACACTGCGCCAAAGAAATTGAAAGAGCAAAGTTTGAAGATTTGATTATTCACACCAGAACTGGACACTCAGACCAGAACCGCGGACCCAATGTCATGTTCTCTATCACTCAACCACTCTTGCTGATTTTTATAAAAGGAAAAATCCCTTGAAAGTTTGTGCTGAATAAAATAGAAATTTGTGATGAAATTTCTGGTGATATTTTAGTGGATTTCAACTAAGGAAGACATCCGAAATAGAATTTTTATAAAGCTATGCCAAAATTATCTTCATGCTTAAGGCTTTTCATAACTATTTGTATATCTATTGCTTCACATGAAAGAAACTTTTTGAAATTAAAACTAACAAAGAAGTCTTCTTCAACCAAGTGCAGGTGAAGACAGACTGACAAATCTGACTGTAGAGAACACAGAACATGAATACATGAAGCAGTTGGCAAAGTCACTGGCAAATTTGCAGATGTCAAGGCTTGAAATGAGAAACTATAATGCTATGATTTACTACTGCAACAGGCCAATGTGTAGGAATTTTCCACATTAATGTAATTTAATAGTATAAGTCTATTGTGTATTTTTCATGCTCATACTATAATTTTTTTCTGGCATGATTATATATATGTGAAGTTCAATAAAAGAAAATGTTTTCACTGTCTACATTCCTTTTCTGGTCATTATTAGCATATGTTTCATTTCTGAATTATTGGTGCCAGAAGAGAGGGGGGTGTTAGACCTGCCACTTCTGTGGCCCAAGGCACCAGGCCCCTTCTGCTCCTGGGCTCCTTCTGTTCCATCAAGACTTTGCTCAACGCTAAGCCATTAAATCTGGTCTTCTCCCTGCCTGCAATATTCTCCTTCCAGATCCTCCAGGAGCTGGATTTTCCTCAGCTCAAATGTCACATCTGAGAGGGGTCTTACCTGCTCATTTTTTCTCCATTGTGTTTATCAAGGTAATCTTGGTTTACAACACTGTTTGGGGGGTTATGGGTTCAAATCTTCACAGATGTATGTCTTAATACCACGCCCACCACCAAAGCCCCAATAATCCTCCACCATGCTCCCCTGGGCTCCTCCCTCCCCGCCCCCACCTCCCCACCCTCCCCTTCTGGTGGCCTCAGTTTTGCAGTCAGATGTCAAGGGTTTGTTACCGGTTTAGTTTTGTCTGACCTCTTGTTTTGTTCCTCCACAAGTAAGGGGAAACATCCAGGATTTGTCTTTCTCCCTCTGACTAATTATTCTGCTGAGCATTCCCTCATCAAGACCCACCCCATCGCAAATGGCAAGAATTCACCTTTTTTTTTTTTTAATAGCTGAGTATATTCCAACATAGTGGAATAGTGCCGCTGTCAGGCACTATCCTACTTGTCTGCTGTCGCTGTCTGTTCCCTGCCGCCAGCACGGAGCCCCGGGGCACGGGATGTGCTCTGGCCCCTGCCTCTCCTCAGCACAGAAGGCCCTGCGGAACTGGAGCCTGAGAAGTGTCTGACCTGGAGGGTCAGACTCCCCAAGGGCAGGTCTGTGATGCTGAAACTAGAAGAATATGCAAGTAAATAAGGGGGGGGGCAGAGGAAGAGCTGGTGGCATCAGGGAGTTGAAAGAGAACAGCATGTCATGTCCTGAGCAATTGTCAGGGCACTGAAGTGGCCCCAGGTGTTCCTCCTAACCCAGGGACAACTGGCAAGGGACTTCAAGGTCTTTGGGCTTCATGCTCAAAAAAAGAAGGAGCAGGTTTAAGCAGGGAGAGGCAGGATCCACATGCCTTCTGGAAATACACTGTGACAGCGGAGAGGGAAGAGTGTGGAGGATGGAAAGCGATCAAGACCACCCTCTTTGGAGCTCCTGAAAAAACACAGGGCCTGAGGAGCAGCACAAACCCACCACCTCCAAATTACCTCCACCCTGATCCCCAACAACTGGGTCCTGCGGCAAGTCCATAGTCAGGCAGAGGCCAGGTCAGTCAGGAAAGGACAGAGATGTCACCTCCGCAGCAGCATCCGTGGGTGGGGCAGGTCCCTGGGTTTGGGAGGGGGTGGGCAGGGGAGGGTAGAGAGGGGTGTCAGGAGGCATCCTAACCAAGATGCTGGTGGGGGATGGAGAGTCAGGACAGCAAGGGAGTCCACAGAGATGGATCTCCACATCCCTCTAGTCACCCTCCTCACACGCGTGGGGGCCTGGGGGGAGACGGGGGATTATGAGTTCTCTGGGGACCAACACAAATACATTACTACCAAGAAGAAACCTCTGAAAGATGCGAGCCACTGGCTCTCCTTTATTACAATCCAGTTTGGGAAGAAAGCTGCAGCGATGGCAGCCCCTCTCCGACCCAGTGGGCAGGGCCCACCCCTCCAGGACAGAGAAAGCTCAGAGCTGGCGGATGCTCCAGGGACCCTTCCCGCCAGTCCTGGGGCCAGCACTCTCCTTGTCCTGGGCTCAGCTGCTGAGGTAGGAACCCTCCAGGGACAGGGAGCAAGGGGCATGCTTTGAATCTTTACATGCCACAAGGAAGAAAATCAATTCCAATGCCCAAAGGAGGGAATTACTGCAACAGAAGGTCACCAACCACAGCAAGTCACTGTACCGTTTTGGAGACTTGGACAGGGAAAAATGCCTCCGCGTGAGGTAAGAATGCTCCAAGGTCTGAAGCGAAACCCTCTCCCCGAGAATCATGTGAGACAGTCCCAGGAGGGCAAGACCACACAAAGGAAGAGGTTTCTTTGTGTGTGCACGGCTGTGGCGGAATTCCAAATTCTGGCTCCTGCCATTTCAGGCAAGTCGTCAGCTTTAGCCACAGCATCTGACTCGCGTTGAATCCTGGAGGAACCAGCTGACATTAGAGCGTTATTGTTGCAGTAGCCGTGAAACCAGTGGCAGTGACCACTTCACTGGGGTGCGAGGGACACGCTTCATAACCAGCCTTTGGGCTCCAGAGCTCTCTGGTTACTACCAGATTCCCTGAGCCCCCATACAGAGCTTGGACTTTGGATGTGACATCTACACCCCTCCAGCAAGGTTGGGTAGCTCCCACTTCTGTCCAAGTGCTCTGCCTCTTCTTGGGGCCAAGGTGACACAGCAAAGTCAGGGCAGAGGTCAAATGAGAGGTGCCCTGAAGGCGAAAAGAGACATTTGTGGGTTTTTCAAAACTCACACTGTCTGGACCATTTGAATTAAGTCCAGAGTTTTTTGGAGGAGCAGTATGTCCTGAGAGATTGTCAGGGATCAGAAATCACCCCAAGTGTTCCTCCTAACCCAGGCCCAATTGACAAGGGACTTTAATTAATGTCTTTGGCTTCATGCTCAGATGTCAGCTGGCTCCTCAACCTTGTTTTCAGATATTTAGTTAGAAAACCCTATGGGTGGTCCCAGAAGAGACCAGGGTCATGAAAAGAAATGGAAGCATCTGGAATGATCACACCTTGAGAAAGCAGGCATGAAGGCAGATGGGCTGGCCCACCTAGGGACACAGTATGGGTAGGAGATTCCTCAGTGACTCTTCTAAGGACACTTGTCATTGAGGCTTCTGAGAGATGACATCTGTGGAAAGTGCTCCTCCTAATAGAAGTTCTAGCTTGTGACCAAAATGGCCATCAGGGAGCTGTGGAGGCTGGCAGAAAGTGGACCAAGCAGCCTTCACAGCAGCTGCCTGGAAGCCACACCCAAATATCATCCATTGTCTTAGGAGAATTAAAATTAAATTAAAAACTGGTGCAATGACACCAAAAGCACACCCCGTGGAATAAAAGAATGATAAATCGGACTTCATCAAAATCAAAAACATCTGCTGCCCTGAAAAAGTCACTGTTCACAGAATGAAAGGACAAGGCATAGGTTGGAAGAAAACATCCAACTAAGGACTCTGATCCTGATTGTATAAAGAACACTCAGTGATAGAGAAGCAAACAACTGATCAAAAGTGGCAAAGCTTTTAACAGACACTTAACTGAAGAAGACA